TAAAAGTGTTGGATCTTCATATTCCCAAGCTACAATTAATTTGACTTAAAACATATTTGTCACATTGAACAGAAAATTTACTAAAATTGATTAAGTGGTAAGGATCAACAACGCTTGATATGAGGTCATCAAAGTTTGATTCTTCTGAAACATTGTCATCGAATTTCTTGAAAATCTGATTAGTAGATAGTCGATCTTTAGAATTATCAGCACCTATCAAGATTTTATTAGGTTCTTGATCATCATTTGATGCATCCGACAAAATGTCCTCATTTTTTGTAAGAAACTTGAACAAAAGCATTTAAGTCATTAAGATAACTCATATTTGATAAAACAACTAGAGAACCCCAATAAGCAGACTCACCAGGAACTTTTGTTCTGGAGTGATGAGCTCCATTTGATGCAACTATCTTCATTATGCTGCTTGATTCATTTTCTGTCTCTTTGTGGGCGGGTACTGCAATAATTTCATGAGCATTTAATAAGACGCCGTCTGTCTATGAGCTCGACAAGTCAGTGTTTGCACATGGTGTTTCGGGGGCAATGGGGTTTGAACCCACGACAGGACATGTCTCTGAAATGGACATTTCTGGACCACTGGGCGTACCATGAATAACTGCCACTGCTCCGCTTACATCACTGCTCGTCAATGATTCATAGAGGCTTTTATCGACACATTCATACGTTCTGCAGTCATTTTTCAGCTCGGTATGCTAATTAGAAATTAGTTTATCAACTTCTGTCGCATCTCTAAAACATGGATGATTTAGCAGCCGTGTGCGTAAATTGTCTAAAACATTCAACTGGCTATTTTTGGAACGCTGCTGTTGTCGCTGGAATAGCAACTGTAATTGATCGGGAGAGATAGCCATTTTCTGAATCAGCACGGTGATGAGAAATAATGTATGATTAATGAACAACTAATGTCTTCCAAGGACACCGTTGACAAATCTGGATGCTGTTTGCTCGAAATGATTAGACTGAATTTTGTCCAATTACAGGCTGACGTTGAAGATTGAGGGTTCGGAATTTTTTTACCCCGTCGCCAATTGTTATAACTTGTGACCCTGTATGCCCTATTAGGATCACAAGTTATAACACCTATCCAACTGACTGAAGACGGCCTTGATATCGAGAAACAGCGATTAATAGCTTCCAGGGCTTCCGCTATCCTCATCTCATCTAATTTTGTCGTTGATGTTCTTCTAGAAATGGCATTTTTAAACAACTTATCAGGACTGTCTCCTACCATGTTTGTTTATCGACTTTGAGTGCGCAGATGATAGTCTTATTTGGTGAAGATATTAACAAGTTTTTGGGATTATGTTTCCCTTCGAATGTAAATGCGTCAACATTTGTCCTATGCGCACACTATCTGCAATGCGATTCCTCTCAACAACCGCCTCAGTGGTTGAAGATATTAGGTGGTCTAGCTTGGAATCGGTCACAATGAAGGAGATTCATTCCCTCTTCTTCCTCTAGATTTCCCGTATTCCTTCATGCCTTTTTGTTTGGTCTTTACTAACCACATTGTTTAGGTTAAGTCTGTTTCATTATCACTGGTCTCATTATTTCAACTCCATTGTTCGTTTCGTCGTGCTAATGTGTTATGAAAACTTTGTCTAATGGACATGTGTCAGCTTCTATGTTGATCATGACTTCTAACTGAATATGTGATCAGTTAAAGTTATTCAGGGTGTGGATATAGAGAAATAATCACCATACATCATGTTTTAGTGCGTGGGCTGGGATACTGCCCGGGTGCCCAGACCGAAGCAGGTGATTTTCTTAGGGGGCCACACCCCGAGCCTCCGACCTGAACGTCTGACCCACAAGGCAGTGGAGCATCGTAAGGAGATGCAGTCCCATGGTAGCCGATGACCAACGATTGGTTCATACGCCATTTGTTCCCGCAGGATACTGGAGCCCATGTGCACTATTGGTTTGGGATTCGGTTAAGGCGCCGGACATTCGCTTTTCGTCCTCTCATTTTCGTAAACAACACCCTCGCCACGAGAAGGCAGTGAGTAGGACTTCCCTGGCAGAGGCTGTATACGTGTGGCCGTGTGAGAGTATTTTGAGAGGGAGAGCGGACTCTCCTCACTCTCGGCCATACTAGGGCATTTGGGGGTAAATAGGAACAATAACGGGACGGATTTGCATGCATGTAGCATACAATTCTCTTTGAACCTAGCACACAACAATAGCATCATGCACTGTCCCATCGCCCTTGGCAGATCAGGCAACACGAAAGTTACGATAACACCATCAGGGCATACGACAGGCTAGGTACCCCGGTCAGGAAAATAATAACCACTGGAGCCTAGGGTAATAACCATCAAGCCAGGGTACATGCAGTCCAGCACGAAGACAGGTGCATGCAACATCATATATTTTTGGGTTATGATAATGATCCTTCCGCTGGTTCACCTACGGAAACCTTGTTACGACTTTTACTCCTTCTAAATAGTCAAATTAGGTCATCTTCTCAGCATCAGTCGAGCGGCAAAGCCACTACGACAGCAATCCAACGACCTCACAAAACCATTCAATCGGTAGTAGCGACGGGCGGTGTGTACAAAGGGTAGAGACGTAATCAGCGCAAGCTTATGACTTGCACTTACCAGGGATTCCTCGTTCACGGGGAATAATTGCAAGCCCCGATCCCAGTCATGACGGTGATGAAACAGTTTGCCCAACCCTTTCGGGCCAGGTTTCCAGACTCGCTGGCACCGTCATTGTAGCGCATGTGTGGCCCCGGACATCTAAGGTCATCACAGACCTGTTATTGCTCAATTTCGTGCGACTTAAGTGTGCCGCTTGTCCCTCTAGGAAGTAAAAACTGGCACCGCACCCGCCGGATCACGACCACACTACTCCATAAAGAAGGAATAGAAGCCGCGCCCTAAACGAGCACAGAGGACCAGTCTACTATTTAGCAGGTTAAAGTCTCGTTCGTTATCGGAATTAACTAGACAAATCGCTCCACCAACTAAGAACGGCCATGCACCACCAGTTTTAGCCACAATTACTTTTTAGCTCGATTTTTAATTATGTACTTTTTAATAGGTAATTCAAACTTAGATGTTATGAAGCACAACCATCTAACAATGCCCAGTTCTGGTAACACGAAAAAGAAGTCATCCATGAAGGAAGGTTCTCGAAACAACGATGGTATTATGGAATTTCCAAAACCACTAGACCCTGTGTTACTTATAAGAGAAAAGGGAGAGTCTTTGGAACAAAAGCGCCTACGTAAAGCCGCTATCAAGGAACACCGCCAACTGCGACGAAAGATACGTAAAATCAACCAGTTAAACTTCCGTCAGGAGAAAGAGAGACAAATAAAAAACAGCATGCAAACAATGATAGTTCACTAGCTAAAGCTACTGTAATGTTTGATTGTACAGAATAAATCACTAAAATGATCACATGAATTTTTATCGAAATATAGTTACATAAACCTCAGTCGCGGCTACTCTGTATTTTAAAATCTGGAGGCGAAAATCCTCGGCTAATGTGTTTGTTTAGTTCTACATTTTTGGGACACTCAATGATAAATAAACCTTGTTTTAATTACAGTAAAAGCTGCTCGTAGAAATAACACTCATTTGTCCTTAGGTGTCTGATTGCTCCAAATACACATATAGAGATGCATATATTTCCCTAGTTTCTCTGCTTCTATTCCTCTAGCTGTGTTTAGATACAATCTAAAATAGTCAGAACTGCTCCCAGAACGTCAATAGAGAGGCTTTCGCCATCGCTGTACGTGCGCCAGGACCTACTTCGCATATGTCTTTACAAACCTAGGGGGCATCCACGTATTTCTATAGTAAATCGTGTGCAACGAATGGAAGGCAGTTCTGTCGTTACGAAACGACAATTGTTGGTTTGTAATGCATGTGACGATGCTGGATTATCTGATGGGGTTGGTGGCGTAATCGGTATATTCACTGTCTAGACGAAAAATGACCTGTTCCTTATGAGTAAGTCTTACACGTTTCGTACAAACTGAAACACGATGAGAGTTGAGGGTAGTACACTCAAGTAATAATTTAGACATTTATTGATGATAAGTACTACACCCGACTCTATCTCCGCGCTCAGCCGAACTAGTACGCTTGAGGGCTGCAGTTAGACGTTAAGCGACTACGGAACCGATCATTTTAGATACACTAAATCAAGTTTAGCGGCCAATATTCGGGATTCCTGATCCGTGTATTTCTGTTTACAAGGATCATTGGAACACTAGTTTCGAATCCTTAAGTCCTCGATGTATCTGTCAACTGTTGGGCCAAATAATTATCACAAATTTATCTACTTGAACCGCTAAAATGTGGCGGCTTGCGAATTTCGACAAAAATACAAAAGAGAAGGCTCTTAGCACCTACATTGTCCACGTTCCCAATTGTCCGTGCTAAAACGAAGTCACAAACTATAGTCTTTGTGTCCATTGCGACACCATCCTGCTACTAATTAGATACTAATGATCTACGTTTTCCAGCTTCGGTTAGTCTGTGATCCAGTGCAACTACCGCCCAATGTCATAAAGCAGTAATCCGCATGTTCAACTTGGTTAACTCTAAAAATCACGCTCTCACACAGTTAATCGGAAGATGAAGGAAAGAAGTGGTCCTCAGTAGGCACGTAATTATTATTTGCATAGGTGGGTTTGTAAGGAGTTCATTTGATTTGAAAGCACTATTCCACGAACCAATATTAATATACATTCAAGTAATTATTCTTAGAACTATGGATAGGGGTTTTAAAACAACATTATATGTTCATTGTTAATACCAAGATTATGTGAATATACAGCAATACTTGAAGAAACAGCGTATAACAGAACAAAGTGAGAAATCTGAGATGATAGGATGGTGAGGAAAAGATGCTTTGTAATAGGTCTTCAAATGTTAACAAACTACTATTCGTTTAGACCAAAATCGGCGTGACTCGGCAACCAATTACGCCTACATATTCGGATTTTAGTCACTTTTCTATAGGAAGTGATGATATAACCAAGCTGCCGAATAAAACTTCGATTTTGAAGGCAGGTAACGGCAACGTAGTTTATTAACTGTAGCTAAATTATACATTACACTAACTGTCAGTTTCGAAAACGGTCAAAATTGATGACTGAGAATTTAGGAGTTTCACAGAAAATTCCATTTTCAATGTGATTACGAATTTCTTGTTATGCCATCCTTTAGGATGGGGGCGAGTGTAGTGTATGCTACTTATGTCGGCGGGCATAAGTAGTATGTAACACCAATCGGAAGGGGAAAACCGGGCAGCAGATCAAGTTGAAGAGAATCGAAAGGAATTATAGACTGGAAGAATCATATAGAATGCGAAGGACAAGTGATGGAATTTCGAAAGTGAAATATTTTATGTACGGTTTTTACATTTTGTCAAGATACTGTAATTTCGCACGAAAATACAATCGGTTGCCCCCACTTGAGTGTTCGTTCATTAGGACTAATAATGATGACGACACTTGTTTGTGCCTTAAAAACAAAAACATGATAGCAACAATATCATCCTATTCATTTAGTATTTGGCATAACTTGCTCAGATTAGTCACTAAAAACGATCGAAAACAAGCCTGGAGGGAAGGATACATTCAAAACATTTTCTTTATATACACAACTGATGAAGATCGGTATTAAAATAATAGAAATGTTAGTACCATTGAGAATCTTGGAGTACCTGAAGAGTGAAAAATATTAAGATTTGCTGAGTGGAAATACTTAAGGAACTAGATAATTGAGTAAACTTTCATGTTGGACAGTTTATCATTCGTGTAGTCGGATCAGTTTCTTTAAAATACGAGTAAGATACGGATTCATATTGGCTATGATACCTGCATGTCAAGTCTTTTGTACATACTTCAATATTTTGGTTTTTAACATTTGTTACTTCGTCTGACTGAGTCATATTTGACAGAATATTATCTGGACATTGACTTACAACGATCGTAGAAAGATGTGTTTGATTTTGATCAGCGTATTTTGTTTCCAAAGAATATTGAGAAAATTGGTCAGCACCCAGATAAGCGAGCACCAAGACTAATAGAATCTGAAAGTAAAACAACCACGGTTTAAACGTGAAATTAAACAGATGACGGTCAAACAAACAGAACTTTTTTATAACTTTATCAACACAAGAATGAGTGAGCTAAACTAAAAGTTGCAAAATGAATGCATTTCACACCTAAAATTCACCGGATATTAATAATAGTCTTCTATTACTTCTCAAACAATTGAGAGACTGATCATAACCAGCACAAGAATTCAGCTAGTTAATCTCATCATCGGCTTAAGATAAATTTTGGATGCTGACCATTACAGACATACACGAAATGTAACATCTTCCCTGTTGGTCAACTTTTGATCGAAGTCCATAATCCAGACAAATAAAATCAGTGTAACACTGACTCTGAGTAATTCAAGATAGTTCACTAATTTAATTGCACACACATGACTTGATGTCAGTTAAAAGATGTGCAGATTCAGTTATTTGGTTATTATAAATAATCAACTCAGCATTATTAAATTCTGTTTATTACTGATCTGAAACAAATGTCCATTAACTCAAACCCCAAATCTCATTAAGATGCAGAGATAAATTAGCAACGTGAATATATAAGAATCTGAAATGCTATAGTAACAATAATAACGGAAATAACCGATTATTCAGAAAACGTTTCAAATTAATACTACATCATATTTCACTTGATAAATAACAGGACACCTTTCACAATGCGAGCGAAAACAAAAACTCACTTTGCTTACTCTCTTAATTTCGGGTGAAGTGTGGTGTCTAGAATACTTCAAAAAAATTTGGGAAATATGTGACAACATAGAATATACATTGAACTCGGGTTTGTCGCCAAATGAATCACACTTGGTAATCTGACGAAAGACCCCGATCTCAAAACCAAATTGGAGTATTTGCGCTCTAGTTACAAAAAACTCCCAATTAAGAGCGGAAACGAATTTGACTTCAAGTTCGTTCAACTCTTTAAGATCCATATCGAATTCGTCTGCCCATTCTGCATTGTACATTCCATAGTCCGTATCATCGTCATGTAAATATTTAGATGCCACTACCTTGAAGAAGTTAAAATAATTGCATCACATTTCACTAACCATTGATACAGCAAAAAGATCAACTGCTGTAACTTCAGTCAATAAAGATGAATAAGGATCGGTTACTACAAGTTTCTCAATGAATAATAGAGCTGTGAGAACAGACACTGGAGGCACGTTTTTTGAACTACACAAAAGATATGTCAGTTAGAAAGGAATCAGAATACCAGAGATATTCGAGCACCATAAATGTATCTAGTTTACCAAGACGTCTTTTGCTTGCTGAATTGACCATCTTGACAATTCGATCTGAAACTGCCAAAAAGTACGAGAAAAGTAAAACCAGAGGTTCACTTTTGTACTTTAAATACAATAAACAAAACATTGAACTAAATAACAATAAGATCCGGCGACACTGTGAATGGAAAAAAAGCTTAATATGAATAAAAACAATATTTTTGCAATATCCCAATGAGTAGAAAAACTGGATTTTTAAGTTTTCTGACGTCTTGTGACTCATTATAAGCCACTTCCTCCGAGATTTTATTTCCTGGAGAAGTGTCCTACACTGAGTCACGAAACGTCAGATTTAAAAATTAAATTTTTCTACTCATTGGGATACTACAAATACATTAATTTTTATCAGCAAAAATCTACCCAATGCTCAATCTATTTGGAATTATCAAGTCAAACCTTGATAATGAAGCCTAGAAAAGTTGAGTACTTTAAGACCACGGCATACAACAAATTCGCAGGAAGTGGTGTTGGTACTTTAGTGTCTTAACATGTCACATCAAATGACAAAGAATCAGCCAATAAGTAGTAGAACAAAAGGAAACAGACACATGTTTTGTAGATCCTTTCTATACTGGAATGAATTCATTAAGCGAAGTTGATTTTTAGTCGTGTGAAGCTTTACCTATGACCACCTGATTCTTTGTAACTACAGATGAAAGCCTAATATAAATAGAAGAGCCAAAACTCAACTATGCTGTTTAAGGTACCCTTCAAATGGAGGCAGTAGGTATCTATCTTATGCTTAGATAAGTCTGATGTTTCTAGACAGTTAAGTGTAAAATAGTTGCTAGTAAAATTTAAGGAAACTCCAACAGTTAATACATACTAGTTATAAAACTAACATGTTGGGATAAATGGTAACTAATACTTTCACACTCGTCTCAAAAATTGACATAAATAGATAAGAGAAAATAAATATACACAAAAAACCTTGATGTTCAGAGGCGCGTCATTTAGTCTTTGATATGGATATCTTTTTGGATTGTCTCCGATTTTATATGACTACCACCATTTTCCTGATCTCTAAATACACCAATTAGCAAAACATGTTTCAAAACAGCAGTTTAAAAGCACAACCCATAGTGCAAATATTTTAGTTGATTTCGATTCACAACTTACCTGACCTACCCGTGTTTTTTAAACTTAACAACAATCGATCCGCTATAAATAACCTAGGACATGGGACAAATGTGAATCAGCTTAAGCTTTTACAACTTGGATAAACAGCGAGAGAAAACCAATGACATATAGTAAAGAACTAGATGTAGTAGAAGGACTAAATATAAAACATATGGTTCGAAAAGAAGGAACGAAATAGAGGAATAAAAGAATAATAATCAGTATTTAAAGGTGTCATACAAGAGACTTTCTGTAACTTGATGAGACAAAATTTCGTCTGTTGGAATCCATGAATAGACTAATAATCGAAAGATGGGTATAAAGATATGTGGCTGAGTGATGGGCACCCACGAGATTGTATTATTGACTTGGGCCCGGGAATGATTAGAAATCAAAGACAGGAACACAAACCAGATGAGTAGTTTTTCATGTAATGAAATAACATACTTATGTCAGTCAGTCAGTCATCAACAACGCAGAATTTCTTACGTACGTACACCACTTTAAGTTGCCATACCACATTAGCAGAGATAATAACATGTTTATATGAAAAGGTGAATACAATCAGTAAAAAGCCAGCCAAGTCATTGTTTTAACGAGCGTACTCGTGATATCAAAAAATAAGAAGCCGCCACAAATACTACTTAACGTCATCAATTCCGATGACAGTACTCAGTGACCAACCGATTTATTATCATTTATTTTAACACATAGGTATTGGTACAACCGATTAAGTAGCCTTTGTTAAGTTTATGGACTTTTGACCCGAGATCTGACTCCAGTTGGATTGTATGCTGATTGTTATCGAAATAAGCATATCACCAATCCTCGTATATAATTATCAACTTAACTCGAGTTAGTAAATAATGGGTTTAGAATAAGTCAAATACGAGAATGAAGTTTTGAATACGTATATTTTGTACAATCGTTGATCAGAAAAGACAATCATAGACGAAGCGAAATGACTCACGGTAGAGGCGTGTAAGCCAACTCGATTTAATCGAGCGTTAATCCACATTTATGGTTATAACAAAAATAAGCTACAGACAAGCGATGAGTAGGATAAGAAATACACACACGCTTACATAAAAAGTCAAGGTCGATAAGTGGATAATCAACAAGGTCCAAATGTGACTCAGGAAGAATGAAAAAATTAGCCTGTCCGGGAGCTAGAATAAGCTGTGGGCTTGACATAGCAACCGAAACTACAGACTTAGTGTGCTTATTAATGGAATACACAGCTACAAGAGCTTTCAGTCGATGTAATCGGACTCTACTTATGTCACAGAACACGATTACAATCAGTTCTGTTATATGTATTTCTGAAAACGTCTACGGGTAGGAACTTAGCACATAAACAGCTGGATATGAAGCCAAGTCAACCCCTGATATTCAGTGAAGGTAAAGAAACGGCGGTTTTTCAGGACCCCTGCTTTATTTGTGAAGTAAATCTATACAAAACTGTGTTTATATTGAGTTTTATTCTACTGGTTTCACATATAAAGTGGATTATTCCAACACAATAGGATAACGATTAAGCAAGATTTACTAGGCGGTGGATGAGTTGTTCATGCACTCTAATCTTAAACATTAGGTCACACAACCTAACATTATTCCACCTATGCCAGTTCGGTGGTATCATCTACTTTCACGCAAAAGTTAAAACTTGCCAAATTTGGCAAGCCTAGTAGAAGCTGCATCGAAAACTCCGCTGCGTTTTTCTCAAAATTTCGACTGGGCTTAAAGAAACCTCCAGGATTACAAAATATGCATAGATATCAGGGGAATTTCGTCCATCTCACAAGAAAATTTCCAAAATTATCACATAATTGGGAGATCGATCGAGAGTATCATGTTTCAAATCGGATTCATAACCCGGCGAGAAGAGGAAGTTACTCATTATTTCATCCATGACAGGCGAAATAGCAGACATTCTGGCGTGTTTTCCCGTTATTTTCTGATGGAATATCCCGGGGTTATTTCAACAAAGGTCTCTTTGTTGGTTGCTTTCCCAATTTCACGATTTTGGGGAAAATTTTGGTGAAACCACTATAGAAAGTTTTGGGAAATGGTACAAATTTCAGGGACTATTACATAATACTTACCGAGTGGATACTCAAAACAGTCCCCTCCCTCATTATTACACAGAACATCAAATATTTCCAAGATAGATGGGCTGGGTCTTTTGGATTCTGATTGCCGAAGATCTTGGATGAAATCCATAGCTAAGCATAAAAATTGGAAGTACGGCCCCTGACCTTCAGACTATTTCGATGTACAATACATTTTCAAATGGTTGTAAATGAAGAGGTTTCCGACTAACAATTTTATCTATCCAGCATCTATGGATCATATTACTTTCAGTAATGTAACTTTGTACTTAAAAATAGGCAAAAATAGAAGAATTTTTAGTTAGTACAAATTAAGTGCTACATTAGGCATTATGGGAATATCAAGTATATCCTTGAAGGACTTCTGCAAAGTTGCATAACTCACCTTAGACAGTATGGAACTTCTTTGCTTGACTACTGTCGATTAGTATGAAATATGCCTTCAGTCCACTGTTGGATGCACAATAATCACCAAAGTGAGATATCTTAGATATTAATTCCAGGATGAAAAGGTCAAGAAAATATTTAGACTAGCATTTTATTAATCGAGGAGACAGAGAGCTATTCCTGAGGAGGTCTAACATGATATGTAGACAGCTGTAGATACACTAATGATGGAGTCTGAAAGTTAGGGAAGATACAGTTGTCAATAATTCCTATTTTATTTAATTTAGTAACAGACACATTCCTAAGACTGACACTTTATCGACCCAGTTTTCAGGGATTGACCGCATATCATGTACTTTGCTGATTGACTCGAAATATACTGATGACTCGTGCTTGGTGAAAATGTGAAAATCTTCAGCCTCTCGGTCACATATGATAATAATTCCAGAAAGTTTAGTATCTAAAACTCTTTATCTAATTCTGTCTCCTTGAAACGTTTTCTGAATAATCGGTTATTTCCGTTATTATTGTTACTATAGCATTTCAAATTCTTATATATTCACGTTGCTAATTTATCTCTGCATCTTAATGAGATTTGGGGTTTGAGTTAATGGACATTTGTTTCAGATCAGTAATAAACAGAATTTAATAATGCTGAGTTGATTATTTATAATAACCAAATAACTGAATCTGCACATCTTTTAACTGACATCAAGTCATGTGTGTGCAATTAAATTAGTGAACTATCTTGAATTACTCAGAGTCAGTGTTACACTGATTTTATTTGTCTGGATTATGGACTTCGACCAAAAGTTGACCAACAGGGAAGATGTTACATTTCGTGTATGTCTGTAATGGTCAGCATCCAAAATTTATCTTAAGCCGATGATGAGACTAACTAGCTGAATGCTTGTGTAGAATTACGGTCTACTATGATTTTAGTATGCTCTGATAAAGTGACCACGCCTGCGAGGCTGAGCCATGCCATCCGATCAATTCGAATTAATTCAAATCATTCTTCCGCCTTCTCCACCGTTGGGTTTATACCGGCGTTAAATTTTGAATATGTATTTTCTCAGTTGTCTCGTGTTCAGCTTTAAGGATTGTGTGGTTAGGGCCCAATTCCACTACTCTACACTGCCACCAGGACCAACATGATGTTGGTTCGCTAACAAACTGGATGGGATTGTCATGCGCCGGAGGTTACCAAGGATAATAATAGTCCTCTGGGTATTGATAGGCTTAAAGATAAACCAAAAAGAAATTGGCAGCAACTGGTCGGGTGGATGAAGATAATAGTCCAGGCAAGTTTTACTATTATACTGGATGATTTTTTGTACTTAACATGTATCTATTTTTCAGTTGCCTTTTTTACACATTTTTAAATATCACTAGGTTATCTACAGCAGCTTCTTATGGAAGGTTTGTAATTCGTCATATTCCTTACTGGAATTCCATAAGTCGTCTGAACTTCAAAAATATTTTTCATTTTGACCATATTTATAATTTTTAAATTGTCATTTACCCCATCAACCAGCATGCTAACCTGACTTTTAAATGCGTTGCATTGTATCTCTGTGCTTTTTAAATTAAAAATCATTTGAATAGCCTTCAACACTTTCAATAAACTCATCATATTCATTAATACTATACGTATTTGGTTTTATGAATCGGTCTACCATATTAATAACCTAAAAAGACGAATAGAGTTTAGAAAATAAAGTTACAAATTTAGGTGCTATCAACTGTGCTAGTATAATAACTAAACTCTCAGGTAGTTGTTGGCTAAACTTCGAGACCTACTACTAAAATTAATACTAGACGAATGTTTTTGAATTGAAATTTATAATATAATTAGGCAGCTTGTATTCTTTAACGCTACAAACGTCCGCTATTTCAGCAGCACATAAAATAACAACACCTATTTCCAACTGGCTACTCTTCAGTCAACACTATTACTAGTTAAACATAATGGTTTCAAGATATCGTCATGTAATATGATTGATAAAATTGATGGAACTATCAACAAAACCGGTCAACAAACTGACTTGTAATTATCATTAAGTAATGTTGTTTTCTCGTTATCTTCATCCGTTACAGATGATTAATGTATCTCTATCGGTTGCTCAATATCAAGAGGACTCTTATTATCCTTGGTAACCTCCGGCGCATGACAATCCCATCCAGTTTGTTAGCGAACCAACATCACGTTGGTCCTGGTGGCAGTGTAGAGTAGTGCAATTGGGCCCTAACCACACAATCCTTAAAGCTGAACACGAGACAACTGAGAAAATACATATTCAAAATTTAACGCTGGTATAAACACAACGGTGGAGAAGGCGGAAGAATGATTTGAATTAATTCGAATTGATCGGATGGCATGGCTCAGCCTCGCAGGCGTGGTCACTCTGTACAACATACTTTTACTTATATTAAATATATTGTTCTATCTCCAGCCTGAATGTGTTCTCTATCATATATTGGTAGTTGGTACGATACGATGAGTCAGTGTAGACAATAATGTGACTTCCACGTAAGACCCTATATATTAGGTAGTTACATTATGACAAATCAGCAATTTTAAGATTAAGTCTATTATTAGAGCAGTACTGATATCATAGTTGACCATAATTCCACAAGCATACATTTCGCGCAAAATAGCTAACCATAGATTTCCGGCAGTCCGAACAAGTAGAGCTACTCCGTTCATTCGGAAGCAGACAAACTGATACCAGTTCTCGCCATTCCAGACGTACTGAAAACTTTGTTGGCAAACAGTAATGATAATCATCAACCCAAACCTCGTGCAGTCTGCAGATCAGATGAATTATACAAATAATTTCCTAGATCGTGTTGCTTCAGAGGTTTTTGGTAGTTGGTACGATACGATGAGTCAGTGTAGACAATAATGTGACTTCCACGTAAGACCCTATATATTAGGTAGTTACATTATGACAAATCAGCAATTTTAAGATTAAGTCTATTATTAGAGCAGTACTAAAATCACTGTAGACCATAATTCTACGCCTGTGTCGGTTATTATCAGTCTCAATTGTTTGAGAAGTAATAGAAGACTATTATTAATATCCGGTGAATTTTAGGTGTGAAATGCATTCATTTTTCAATTTTTAGTTTAGCCCACTCATTCTTGTGTTGATAAAGTTATATAAAGTTCTGTTTGTTTGACCGTCATCTGTTTAATTTCACGTTTAAACCGTGGTTGTTTTACTTTCAGATTCTATCAGTCTTGATGCTCACTTACCTTAATATGGCTTCCGGTTGGCGCGCTATCTAGAAGGACATTGGTATTGTTTCTCGATGAGTCAATTAACTGTTTTGATTGTAAATTACGTGTCAAAACTACTGTTTACACTTTAATTGAATCTACTCCAGTTAAAGTGATATTGTATTGAGTGTTTCGATTTTGCTTTTGTGCATTTATTGCATCGAAGCATACTTGGTCGACTTTTACTTGATTTATTTAGTTAAGGTTTAGGAATTCTTTTACATATCCTGTTTGTATCACTGTTGTAGTTGATTTTAAAGATGGCCAGATCTGCTCATAGATGTGGACAACCATTTTGCTTATTCCCCGTTGAGGAAGGGATGCAATGTGATGAGTCTAATAAGTGGTTCCACAAGATGTGCACCCGATTAAGTCCCATTGCATATAAAAGGCGCTCAAAGACCAACTCTCGTTGGCTTTGTAGTTTTTGTTGCTCGAGCAAAACACCACTCATCAAGGAAGCCATTAGCCTCCTGGTGTTGGCCAATAAGAAGGTTGATGAAGGTTCTACTGGCAACATTGGTACTGATGGCGAAGATTGCGTTAGTGTCGTAAGTGCTGTCACGGCGCAAGTCAGACATCTAACTGTGCGACCCGAAATTGAACCTTCTACTCCGAAACAATCAATGAGTGACACGTCATTAGATATTGGTGGCCATGTTGCTACAGCAGCAACTGGTGATCCAGATAAAACAATTACTGTCTCGAGTAGTTCTAATGTAGATGCTACGACTGATGGAATATGGATGACGCGGAAACGCAAAAGAGTAGGAAAGACAGCTAAAACTAATGACCGTTTACTTGATAAGTCCTTGATGGACTCTCAGACCACTCCGTCAAAGTCCCAAAGCAAAGCCTCGTCAAACATTGTTGTGAGTCACTCGCTCGACTCCAATGACTGTTACAGCAAAAACTAGTCGTAAGATACCAGTAGTTATTATACAGGATCTAGGGTCACGATAGATTTCTGTAAACACGATCCCAAAAGAAGCTAAACTCCTCCCTAGTTTAATTATTTGAAATCTATAGGAGTAAATAGACAATGACCCTGCTAATAGACATGTACATGATCTGCAGTTAAGGGAGTCCGTGGTAAGAAACGTACTATCTGAAGGGGTTTCAGGGGTACATATCACGAAAGTGATACGATTCGGTAAATAGGTTGGAGGTGAGACCCAACCAAGAAGGATCCTGATGCTGGTTCTCGGGAATTTTGAAGAGATATATTATTGAAAAACGAACGAAAAATTCGTGATTCAAATATTCGTATCCGATCAGATTGGCCGCTTGAGGATCGAATCAAGTGGAAGAATGCTCTTACGGAGTTGAGTACACGCAATTTAAATGGCGAAACTAACCTTACCACTAAGGGTTTCTGGGTAGTCAGGTCTTGGAAGCCAATGCTCCCGAGGCCTGTATGGGTAGAACGAATGATTACCAAAACACGGTAAGTGTGTGATACACGAACGCCCGTAGTCTTAGGAATAAAACGCACGAGCTAAGTCTGATGGTGGGTGAATGAAGTCCTGATAAAATTGTTGTTACAGAAACTTCGTTCACCGTAGATATAGAATCTTCTCCCATGATTGCAGG